CATTCTTCCCATAAGCAGAATGGATGAGACAACACATTCATAATGGTTGATGCCATAAAAAGTCTGATGCTAAAACTAACTTTGCCAATACTGAAGATCCATCTCAGAACCAAGGAACAGCTTGCCACGGCAAGCTTCAAGACTTCTTTCAGCATCTTCAGGTCTAACAAAAATCAAAATGAAAAAACTGTAAGTAAACCCTACATGATTGAATGGTTGATTGAACGAGCTCTTTTTCCTTTTACTCCCCTTGGTGGCCAAGATAGAACTTCTCCTTACAATATCAATACAATATAAAGCAGACAAATTGATAAGAATAGAGATAAATATCAACAGGGGAACTAACATCATAAGAATTGTGTCACAGACAGTAAGGAGAATTATTAAAGAAATTTTGGGATTGAAAGGGTTAAAACTCCACAATTTGTTAGTAAGGTTGATTTCCTCAAATAAAAGCATGATGGGTTCAGAAGCTTATTTAAATAGAAGTTTCATATGGAGAGTTCGTTATTCACCTTCTAAATTGTACAATAGCATATCTGCTGGTTCCTTGCCCATTTACAGAAATACGTGTCACATCCCCATGCTTTTTAAACTCATGGTAGAGACCATCACGGACACCACTATCTACAAAACCAGAAAGGACAGATTAGCTCATTTAATTAAAACAATCCTAAAAATGCTATGAAACTTAAAAATTATTCACTAAACCGGAGAAGACCATAGGTGGATATTTACTGAATTGCAAAACAGGACCAATCACAGAGCATAGTTTAGATATCATAAGGTGAAGTTGATGAGATTAAATAGATAGTACACCTTGTATGATTGAACAAAAGATAACATACAATTTGCCTTCCTTGTGAAACCATAAATTACTTAATACCTACCTCCAGATCTCAATGAAATATTCCTCAAACAAAGAGCAGATGTTCTGTTTGTACTCTGAGGTACTTCTGCTGGTGGTGCTGTATTCCCATGTGCACTTCCAGCCCTGCTATCTTCCTCACTGCTGCTACTGCCACTTGAACTGGCAGACTGACTCCCACTGTGGCTGCTCTCACTTCCACTCTCACTGCCGCTGGTGCGATCTGGACTGGGCTCCTGATCACGATATGCTTCTAAACAAAGAATGATGATAGATGTGGTTTTGTTAACATTGGGTCATAATTCATTTTCTTTCTTTAACGCAAAGGCACAACTTTTACCAACTCTCATAGATCATTGTCAACTGTCCACAAACCACATCTACTAAACACAATCTACCTGACAACATTATGACTGCTTGCAAAAGATGACATATTACATTTCACAGGATACAAGTACTATCATGCACATCAGCAGGAGCCATGCTCACTATTTTCATGACATGCCTTTATGAACTCACCAGGTAACTTGTGAGTATTTCGGCGAGGTTCATGACTATAGGGTTGACGCCGATGATCTCCACTACTACGAGGTCTTGATCGGCTTGCAGTGCCTCCTCCTTTAGCAGAAACCCTAGAGGATCCAGTTTCATCTTCACTGTAATCATCTTGGTAAAAAGCTTGCGATCGACCATTGTAACGTCCATCAGGTCCACTACTGTGAAAAACAAACCTAAATTAACTTTGTTCAACTAAATAATAATAATAGTTTAGACAATAACTATTTGTGATTACAGTGTATTTTTTCATTATTTCCTCCATAATCTTTCACCCACCCCTCTTAGAAGTAAAGCTTCACATTTTAAGCTTACATAGTCAGCTTAAAGAATTACTCATTCCCAAAGGTGCCTAAAACAACACTGTTCTCTAAAAGTAATGATCAGGTCAACCAGGTGTATATTTGAATGAGTAAAATACTAACCTGATTGAATACAACCCTAACTGGGCTTCATGCCCAAGAACACCACACTTCACAAGAACTCTTCAATGCAAATATTTTTTTTAATTTAAGGTCATCCCCACTGAGATCCAATGGCCACAAAGAGATAACACTTACAACACATGAAGACCATAAAACTTTTAAGCCACAAAACACTCCCTACACTCCATACAATGATCGAGGCAATTTGAGATACTCAAAGGCTAGCATGGTTCTGTACAAAGATTTATTTCAATAGACTTTCACAAGTTAACTTGGTCTGATCCAAATAGGACATAGAAGATGGCGAAAATGCTCAAAGACAACATTGATGTCAGACTGAGACAAGATCAAATAGGAGAGGCAGCAAGTCAGGTTTGCTAAGGATGAAATCCTGTTGTTTCACAGCCAAATACACTTGAAAGATTCAATGCCACTTTTCATGGAAAAACTTCACCACAGCTTTAATGTATGAGGAACTTTATTGTGTTGATAACCTCACATCCACGGAGGCTGTTTATCCAAGTTGCTTGAAAAAAATTCCATATTCCACAATCTCTTCCTTTATCCATACACATTTAGAGCCTCTCTAAAAACATCTGTAATCCAGAAAGAAGTTTGCATAAACCATGTTCTAAATCCTGAACTTCCCTCAATGTTTTCCACGTCATACTTTCTGGACCAAATGACAAAACATCTTTTGTGGAATTGCTAACAATCTTGGTTGAGGAGATTTTGGTAAAAACTCTAAGCAATTGTTGGAACTTAACAGTAACACTGATGAGTCATTCCTTATTGAACAAACAGGGTCAGTAATTTGGGAAATTTAAACATTTACAGACAAAGGTTACTTCACTAAGAGATGACCGGCTGAAACTGTGTTAAGACAGGGTATGACCATCAGTATAGAGCTGTGATTGAAACAGACATTCACGAAAAACAGCATGATCAGTTACTGGTGGCACCATCTGTAACAGACAAAAGAAAAGCCAGCAATCCAAACCTACAACTTGTGATCTATTAGATGCCTGGACAATTGAAATTGATAATCTTGCTTCATCTGTGGAATGGAACTTGACACCACACAAGATGAAAGCCACACAAATCAATGGCCAAACTTGGAAAAATTCATCCACAAACTTGAAATTAAAGCTGTAAGTTTGATGTAGTCTTGATCCACATAACTGACAGTTTTCTTCTCTTCCACAGAGATGCACTACTTTACCATACAATCTTGAAATGTTTCACTTGTTCCTTGTCCGACTAATTCAGGGAGTGTTATTGTAAATGTTGTACATGTAAAAATCTCTCCTCTAATGTTGTTAATCCAATAACATCAGGTAATCATAGATTAGAAATCACTTGTTGCATTTCACATCCTTAAACCTTTCCAAGTTGACATCTCCACAAGGTGACATTTCTTTCAAGCTGTTGTCCTTGCAAACACACTTTCTTTTCCAAAAATTCCACATCATTTTATCTGAGTTGCAGTGACATCCTTGTTTTCCAGAAGTAAAATGCCAAGAGGGATGAGGCTACCAGATCTTGATCAATAATTATTTGAATTCTGTACACCACAATTCACCAGCATGTAGCCAAGTAAAGGAGTTAAAGTACTGTGAACGTGTTTCAATACAAATGTTTTGCTATCTTTGAGAAACCACACCATACCATAAACCATACAATGCATCTTGTCCCAAATACTTACAGTATTTTCCTCTAACACGCCAACGTTTTAACTATCCACACGAGGCCGCCATCACTAAAAAGCCCTTACACATATGAAATATCTCATGAACCTTTTCACTTACCCCTCCGGTCTTCTCTCAAATCGCCGTCTTTGTGCGGGCGATCCCGGGGCTGTGTTACCCGTAGGTCTCGAGGGAGGGTCCGTATGCCCGTGCAGCCGGGAGATATTACCCGCATTGCCCGGCTCGTTGTAATCAGTACGCATTTCGCGGTCACCGATTCGATTCACAGATTCGTGCGCTTTGGTAGCGCTTCGAATATCCACGAAATCTACAAAAGCTGCTCTTCCTCCTTCTGCGCTACGTTTTGGCAAGATTTTGACGCTTTCTACCCGGCCATATCTACGAGATAAAAAGAAGCGAAGAGATAGTTTAAGCAGCACAAAAAGAAAGCGAAACTAGCGTTTGGTGACGTGGAACACGAAACTTCCGGGAAGCCAACGGGGCGGGTGTTAAAAGAAATTGAAAATCACTTTCCTAACTTCTCTTAAACTTTCCACAGGTGTATATCCACGTTTATTCTTTCAGAGACTCAATCCTGACATCTCACTGCAATCCTATTTATTTACTTGGCAATACAACGCGAAAAACTCCCAAAATGACGGGATCAAAACAAGTAATTTTAACTTGTAAGCTACTACCGTTCCGACAACACCAGAACTTTCTATTATCATGTGGGGCATGTCAAACGCGAAGACGGAATTTCAAGCAATAATTAAAAGAAGCATTGTTTCATGTCTTGATCAATCTCAAAATAAAGTGGAGAAGATTAAAAGGCAATTTAAAGATCAACCGAGCTAAAACGTAGATAATCTTATGGCGTTACTACAAGCCTTTAACATCACCTAAAACATAGAATATATTTTCCAAGCAACAGCTGGGCAAAAGAGAATAAAACCAAGCTTGTCGATTCACGATACGGCAAAATAACTCTCAAACGATAAAATTGAGTGGACGAGCGGCATCAACACGGCCAAGGTGCGAATTTTAGAACAAATAGGAGTAAGATGAACTCAAGCGCGCCAAAAATCGACGATAAGAGTCTTACCGAGTGAAGTGCTTGACTATTTCTTCTTCTCTGATGTTTTCCGGAAGGTTTCCGACCCACAAATGGCGGGTTTCACGCACCATCTTGTTGAATAATATCTTCTACTACTTTGCAAAGGCTATTCGATCATTATTACGCAAAAAAACAGTCATACAAAAACACATTTTCGTTAAACTTTCGAATCCTCAGGTAAAGCAGATTGGTAGCGTTTTTTATTTGCAAAGGCTTCTGGGAGAGGCTGCAGTGGTATTATATAAAAACACCTCTGATTGGTTCATCTTAAGGTTACTGTTCTTTTGGCCAATAGTATCTTTTGCTTTATTTTTGGAGTATCGAAGTGTTCATTAGTCTCCACGCAAATGCTAGGTTATTCACTTTGCCCCGTCAGTGAATCTTGGAAACAGGCTCTGTCAACGGTAAGTTTAATTTTTACTTTTTACATGTGTTCTTATTGACGAGCGTTTATGTCTATTACCGAAAGATTTTCACGGTAGGTCAGAATTTTTTGCATTTTCTTGGACAGTTCAAATGGGTGATTCCATTGACGCCTTAGAGCCCTCCCTGGGAACAATTTAAGTATTTCTTCGATCAGCTAAATAAATCCTTTTGTAGTCTTAACTGAAACACGAGTTTTTGTGTTATCATTTAAATTGTCAACCTGCAGCTCAAGTGTACGTTCATGGAGCGGTTCATTTCCTCTTTGATCACAAGACAGAGATCACCTGATTCACTGCACGTTTACATTCCAAAACCCTTCATTGCTTTTATTTGTTTATTATACAAATAACTCTGACGTCTGCTCAGGGGCTTTGAATACAGTTTGTTCATTTTACTTTGCAAATTAAATTTATTTCATGTGTTCGCCACTCCCAAAAACCTTGGGTTCTTGTGAAGAAAACCGGATGATGTAACCTTTATCGGGAAATTGCAAAGCCATCCCAAATAACTTCCATTTATTTACACCTTTTCATTACTATCATTTTAGTGGAAGCTGCAGTCGACAAGATTATTTTTTTTCCAAGCTCAGTAGATATCATGATTGCAGATGATCTCAAATGTATTTAGTTCAAATCCCACTAACTGTGATCATTGCACTTTTGGGAAAAGAAAAAGGAAATAATTAAAAAACTGTAGAATCACTGAAGCTAAAGGTGTAGAAATTACTTCTCCTCATATTTTAGATATGACAGATTGTAATTTTGGATCAAAAAGTCCCCCTTAAAAGTTACCTTATAAATCAGGTATACTCAAGAATACAGTTTGTTCATTTTGCTTTGCAAAGTTAAATTTATTTAATTTGTTCACCACTCCTTAAAACCTTAGGATCTTGCAAAAAATACTGGATGATGAAACCTTTATCAGGAAGTTACTAAGCCATACTAAGTAGCTCTATTTATTTACACCTTTTCATTTCTATCATTATTATGGATGCTGCAGTCGACAGGGTTATCCTCTTTCCAAGCTCAGGAAATAACATGATTGCAGATGATCTTAAATGTTTTTAATTCAAATCCCTCTAACTGTGATCATTACACTTTTGGGAAAAGAAAAAGGAAAAAACAAAAACTGCAGAATCACTGAAGCTAGTGGTGCAGAAATTACTTTTCCTCCTATTTTAGATATTACAGATTGTAATCTTGAATTGAAAGGTCTCCTTTAAAAGTTGTCTTATAAATCAGGTGTTTTTAATTAACTATAGTTTGTGATGTGCTGTCTGAAAAAGCAGGGCCAAGTAAATCTTTCTAAGTCAGTGATATGTGTTATAGCAGAGTTTGCAGAGTGTAGCCCCATAATTATACAAAATAGTAGTAACCCATCAAGCCGAAAAAAATTTGGATGTATGACCCTCCGACCATACAAGGTGCTACTTTTAACATGCGTGCTTAACCATACCTTGGGCACACCAACGCCACGGCTTTGTCCAGTAGTCCAGTGGTCAGTGCACTGGGCTCCGCGTCAGATGACCTGGGTTCTAGTCCTGGCTGGAGCAATGCATGTGCCCTTGAGACGTGCGGGAAAAAAAAAATTGCGAGCTCCACTTTTAGGCTTGGCAAAATCTATATATTATATTTGATGTGGGTTATCTATTGAATAATGAATTTGTATTAATTAGTCAACATCCAGCAATCAATCATAGTGTTATCTGCTCTATATCTCTCTCTTGCATAATTTTTTTTTTAGTTGGGAGGGGAGAGTTTGCAGCAGTATCAAGATAATTTCTTTTTGGATTTAGAGTTTGTACCCAAGTGTTTGTTGTGCTGAATGGAATGATATTCCTAACATCCTCCCAGACCTTGGTGGGAAGAGTTGTATTATCCTCATGTCAATGTTACGCTTTGAGACGTTTTTTATCCACCACCCCTGCCCTCGCTGGAGAAGGTGATTTCCTTTCACCCTTTTTAAAATTCTCCCCTCTCTCTGCTTTTGTATGTTAACCCTTTAATGCTGGAATCAAAAGGTAATGATCACCAACTGAAGAAGCTCTGGATTGTTAAACAAATTCTCCTTGTTAGCACTTTATGAAATGTGTAGAGAACAGTATAGAGAATATGCGTACTGATGTTATGATGTCATGGTGTAAAGGGTTTGTCTCTTATTTTCCCGTTTCCTCCATATTTTTTAGGTAATGATAAAAAAAAAAGTTTAATAATTTTTCTCTTTACAGCTAATGACATAATGACATATTTTAGGGTTTAAAAGAAAAACTTATCATGAATTGATCTTTTGAAGGAAAAATGTCTGGTGTCAGCAAGATTTTTGCTCGTGAAATATTTGACAGCCGTGGAAACCCTAGTGTTGAGGTTGATATCACAACATCAAAAGGTGAATAATTATTGGGCAGTTGGTATGCATTTTTAAGTATTAGATACGAGTTATTTGTAACATAATTGGTTTTCTTCCCTGGAAGAACAGGTTTTCAATAGCAAGGGGGTAGCAAGTAGATCTATTGTGCTGGCTGCCCATTTGTAGCCTTTGCACAAGCATCAATGTACACCTAATCTACATGTAATTATTTTGGAATTTGTTCAAAGTGGTTGAGAATTTGAGGAACAACAAAGCAAGATAAATTTGGTGAGACCTCAAAGCACAACTGCAAGAGCATAGAACTTCAAAATTTCTCAGGGGAACCTGATTAGGTTAGACCTCTCCAGTAATAAGAGTCTCTTCAGGCCTTCAAAATCATATGCCTGCCATTTTTATGTCATATTTTTATTGAATTTACCTCTGGTCACGCTATTCAGATATATCATTGTGCAATAATAATCACCTGTAACTTTCCTGGCTGTAACATTCAGTATGCATTTTGCTAGGATGTTAATTAGGTAGCTTGGACAACAGAATTCTTCAGTTACTCATCAAGATTTTCTGACTAACTTTCAATGGTATAAGCTATTTTTTCTCAGATTTAGGAAATATCCTTTAATTTCTTTTTACACTACTCTCCAACTACATTTCTTGTCCAAAACCCTAATTTTGTATTAAACAAACATATAGACTTCCTTTGTCTTCTTCTTGCTTAAAACAAATAAATATTTCAGAGCTAATTGTACAATTGTGGGTGGTGAGAAGGCCCAATGAGCTCTGGATTCTGGTTTGAGAGGTCTGGGTTGGAGCCTCGGTTAGGTTCTTTTGGTGTGTTCTTATACCACAAACTTCCTCTCTGGTATCTTCCCTTTACCCAGGTGTCTCTGTGGGTGGGCACCATTGTATCATCTTATTGTATAACATAGAGGAATGTAGGCAGAGAAACTAGCTCAGAGAGAAACACGAGTAGTAAACCATCTTCTTTGTTTACTTGGTTATATAAAAACAAGAAGCATCTCTCAATCAATATGTCTTGCAACACACAAAAGATACCTGCAAGCTGCCAGGGAAATTTGATGAGTTATCAGACACTGCAATTTTAGGGCCATTTTACAGTTGTGTAC